TAAAAAATCCTAATTAAATATAATATTTTCTGTCTATAAGCGTTAAACAAATTACAATATTTATGTCATCCTCAAAATCTATAAAATATTGCCAATAATCAACTCAAAAAATGCTTTCTATATCATCAAAGCTTAGATAATATGTCAAATTCTGATTTATACTTCTTAGTTTCCCAAATAATTATTTTTAAACAATCTAAATAGATATCTTTTAATTGAAAATTTTAATTTATAATTAAAGGTTCACTTAAATCATTAAAAACTTATATACATATACACCTTGATATTTGAATGAGATTTAAAAATCCTAAAAATAGATATTTGTTAAATCTCTTTAATTTTTCAACAAAATCAAAAATTAATGGAATTTGTAAATTTGTTTATCTAATTCCATTAATTTATTTAATAAAATGCAAGAAAACAATGAATAAGCATTAGATGATCTGAGTAAAGAAATTTTAGTTTCATAATTGAAGGACAAAGTATTTAATAAAAAATAATCAACAGATTAAGGAAAATAAAACCATCACAAAAAAATTAGATAAATTATCAGAGAAATATGTTTAGACATACAAGGAGTATAAACTTATTGCAAAAGATAGAGAAACTTTATTTTAAGTTCTCTCATCAATCTTAAATGATGAAATTAATAAATTTGAGCAGAAACCTTTGGGTTATATATAAATATATATAAATAGGTTAATTTGATCAAAATCAAATACTTGATTTATTCAAACAAAAGGATGAAGAAAAATCAAGAGCTTTAACAAATCTGATTAAAGAGACTAATAATGAAAAATTTCAATTAGAAGAAAGGTATCGATAAATGATAGAGAAATAAGGATAAAGTACTGATCAAAAGACTCAATAAATTATCAAGCAATTAAAATAATAAATAAATGATTTGGATAATAATAATACAAGATTGGCAAAGGAGATCATTGAATTAAATGACATTATACAGATTAAAAATTAATAATTACAAACTCTTAATTAATTAGAAGAAGAAAATGCAAATTTGAAAACTTAACATATGGTTAAGGAACTGTAATTATAATAGCCAGATCGAGCTAATAAAATAAATTCTTCAGATTTCATGAATGAACAATTAAAGTTTAAATAATAGATTGATAAACTATTGGAATAAATTTAAAAGCAAAATATTAAAATTTCAGATTTAGAATCAGAACTATAATTATAATCTAAAAAATAAACTGAGATAAATAATGTATCGAAGAAAAATGAAGAGACTCCTACTCCTGATTACGATGGAATAAATCCATTTGAATAGGAAGCTACATTAAAATAAAAAGAAATCATCTAATTTAAATAGATATCAGATAAATAAATTTAAACAGATTAAATATTTTAGAATTAAGAGGAAACAGATAATAAAAACCCAAATTTTGAGTATTTAAAGAATGTAGTTTACAAATACTTTTTGTATTAAGAAACTAGAAATTATAAAGAAGCATCAATTTTAATGAATGCAATTATGACAATTTTAAAAATGTCTAATGAAGAAAAGAGAAGAATAGATTAAGCAAGAGAAAGAGGTTTCTTAAAGAATGCAAAAAATCTAATAAGTGATAGTTTTGCATGTCTAAAGTAACCATAATTAAATGATATGAATTTGGATCGACCTACTAGTAGAGTTGAATAAATGAATAAACATATGATGAATTGATTTATTTAAATTATTTATATAGCTTCATAAGAAAATTATGAAGTTCTTATAAAATTATGGCAATTTTAGAAATAACGAAATGAAATTAATAACACAAAAAATTGCTTTAATTTTGTTTGGTTCTCAGGTATTTTATTAAATCATAAAAGCAAATTCTATTTTAATAAGTTATGATAAGAACAATAGAATTATTTTGGTTGGAGAAGAAATTTGAGCAATTGTTTATTATTTTTGGAATGATGTTTTAAAAATTATAAACACTACATCACCAATATCTGTAATGAATTTATGATGCCATCCTCATGTAAAATTTTATATCGAGAAAAAAATTGGCTTTTTGAATTCTTTATTATTAAGTTTAGTGAAAAAAAATATAAAAAGTGATTAGTATGGTGTTTTTATAATTTCAAAATAATATAAAAATAATATACATGGTCGAAATATTTATGAATTTTTATCTAATTAGAATATTTTATTAAGCATTTAAATATATAATTGAACTTTAGCAACTTATAAGATTCTTAATTTATAAAAACTTAAGTAAGTTTAATTAATTAATATTAAATTGGATATGATAAAACAATCTAGATATGTATTGTATTATTATGAAAGAAGTTTATTATTTAACAATTTTTGATGATTAAAGTATTAATATTATTTTATTTGTTCAAACAAAATAAATGTATAAACTAATAATATCTATGAATTAATACTTATAGTATAATAAAACTACAATCAAATAAGTTGAATAAACTCATATTACTATGACATAGAGTTGTATGATCAACTATTTTTAAATTTAATTTTAAGAATAAGGTAATAAGATTAATTCAAATTTATATCAAGAGTATGTTGTAAGAATAATAGAAGTAAAAGATTGCATAGAGAATATGCTGAAGAAATATTCTTAAAAATAATGCTAGTCATTCAATATTTGAATATTAATGTACGAATGATAATTTTTATCAATCAAATAAGCCACCCATATCAACATCTTCTTCTGGTTCTTCAACTTTCTTAACTTCTTTAACAGGTTCAGGAGCTTTAGCTTATTAAGCTGCTGGTGCTGTGGTATTTGTAGCAGTCTATGCAACAGGTGCACTTCCACTGCTTCCATGTAATAAATCTCCTACTCTCTTTCCTTTAAGTGCCTTTTCAAATACTTTAGTCCAAATTGGTTCAACTCTTAAATTAGCAGCTTTAATTATTTAAGCCAATTTAGCTGCATTAATCTTTCTTTAATTATTGTTTTTACTTCTTGATTGTCTTCATATAAGATGAGAGCAGCATATGTACAAGCTGCTTCTGATGTATTTTAATCTGCAATTGGTCTTGTGTCTTTTTATGCTCTGGCCATTTAAAAATAAAATTAAAAGATTTAATATTTTATGTTCTTCACATCTCTCTATTCTAATCAATTATTATTAAATTCAAATAACAAACATTTATATATATAAACTTTATTCTTAAACATTTCTTTATCATATTTTATATTCTCAATATATTTAATATATATTTAATTATTATTTTTGATAATTTCTATATATTTACAAATAACATTTTTAACTATTATTTAATATTTAATATTAATATTTTTCTATATATTAAATCAATTTTCTAAAAATTTTATTTACAAATAACTATAAAATATCAGAAAATTAAATTAACATCATCTTTTGACTCATTCAAAAATGGATGACAATATATTTCATCTAAATTAGCTCTTGATGTTATATCTGGTTGTAAAAATTATTCTAAAAAATTTTATACAACAGGTTCAATTTGAAACTTACATAATTTTTAAATAATTGTCCAATATAAAGACCATTTTTTTTGTTTAATGAACTTCCATAACTTACAATTAGCATTTGGTTTAGTAGAAGTGAATGGTTGAAATCTAAAAATAACTTAAAAAAGTGTAACTCCAAGTGAGAATATATCAGATTTTATAAGGATTTGAGTACTTATGTTATCACTATTCATTCCTCCTAATAATGATTCTTAATGTAACTCTGGAGGCATATAATTTAAAGTACCCACTGTCCTTTTAACTACACAATTTGATAGTAACTCTGCAAATCCAAAATCACATAAAATTAATCTTCCATTCTTATCAATTAAAATATTCTCTAATTTGATATCACGATGAACTACTTACAACTTATGAGTTGAGTTTATTATTTTTATCAATGTTTTACAAGTTTCTTTTATTTATTATTGATTTAGACTTTATGATTTTATGATTTCAAACAAATCCTAATTTTATAGTCTTTCCAATATTAAATAATTATCAGTATAGGTAATCATTTTTACAATATATTCACATCTAACAAATTCTAAAATTTAGGCTTCTTTTAATCTCATTTATGTTGGGTATATAGATTTAAATTCCTTCATTATATAATTTGAATCCTCCGTTAGGAATACATTTGATGAAGATCCTTCACTCAAAAGAGTGGTTTTACTATGCATATGATTTAAAATAAGAATTGATTTATTATTATAAAAGAAAATATTATCACTACATTTTATATTCACTCTCTAATTCATCCCGAAAATATCTTTTTTTAAACATATATTACTATATTGTATTAATAATGAATTTCAAGTAATTAATATCCTCATTTACGCATAATTTTCAAATTCTTAAACACTATAATCAAAAAAGAAAATTATGAACTGATAAGACTTTTTTTACTTTAAATTTTATTGGAAAGCTTTATTATTGAGTTTTAAAATTATTAGATAGCATTTAATAATATTTATTTTTTCTGTTACATTAATTAAAATGCTTTAAATTTAAAAATAATTAATAATAATATTTCTAGCTCTTGATTAATATAGCCTCCAAACATATTAATGGTGAGGGTGCTTCCTTTTTTTCTAAACAACATCTCTCAGTATTATTTTAATATTGATTCTCTTTAATTATTTGAATTTATATTTGAACTACGTGGTAATTTACTTAATCCTTAAAATTAAATTTTTATTTCTTCATTATTTATTGATACTTTTAAATTTTGATTTTTCTTCACTTATTATTTTATTTGATTATTCTATTTTTCAGTTGAAAGTCATTTCTCATAAAATGTTTAAATTTTTATTTGACAACTAAATACAAATGCTGAAGTTATTAAATTTTTATAACAGTTTTCACAAGAATTGATTTGAATTTCTTTAATTATTAAAAGCAATTTTAATTTTCTAAAAATCTTTATATTTGAAATCAATAAATATCATTAGATACTTAGTTTTTTTAATAAAATCTTTAAAAAATTTGAATTTTCCTTAGAAATCTAAAAAATTTAATTTTTTTTCTTGATTCTAATCCACTTGAAAAACTCTTTTTTTTGGATTATAAATCTCTTTGTCAATTAAAGTTTATTTTTAATCTATTATCTTTGATGAGAACTTTGGTAATCTATAATAATGAAATTTAATTGTAAATACTTAATGAAAGTTTATTTAGACTCAATATTGATTTTTTATAGTTTTTCTTTTAATGAGATTCATGTCGTCATGAATGATCTTTAAGTCTTTTTTAATAAATTTCAGATTGTATTAAAATAGAACAAATTATATATCATAAATAGTTTTTCAAAATGCTCTATTATGTTGATTGACATAGAATTGTCAAAAATAAGTTATTGAAGAAATTGATTAAAAGTTTTTAGATTATGATTATATAAATAAAAGATATATCTAAGTGAATGAGTATATATATAATAATGAATTTAGGAATGTTTGATCTTGTTTATTTATGAAATTGTTCTTATTAACAATATGCATAAATTGAATGTATAAAAAATCAATATATTTATAAAGTTACTCTACATAAAGGAAATATATTTATAATATTTAAATAAGAACAATGATGGTAGACAGATAAATAAATGGACATTTATAATAAAGTATCATAAAATCAATCTTGCATAATTGATCTCTAATTCTTTTTAGAGAACTTACTTTTTCTTGCCTTTTATCTAGATAATTTTGACATAGGTTCTTCAGATTCACTTCCATCATCATTTTTCACTTAAACTAATTCAGAAAACTGGACTTTTTTACCAATAATTTTTTCTGATTAGGTTTATTAATGTAATAATTGAAGAGATGCAGAGCTATATCTATCAGTTTATTTTCCTAACATAAAATCAAGACTATCAAAGCCTAGATCAGTTGTTTCTGTTTTCATTTTGTTTTATGGACTAGTTAAATATTTTTCAGGTAGACTAAAAGGATCAGAAAAGAAATCCCATTTTTTTAAGGACTCTTAACCAACTTTAGTGAGACTGATTTTTGGATCTTATACATCTCGAAAGTATTATCCTAATAGAGGTTGACTAGAATTATGCTTATGTTATGATCTCACATAAAATGGCTTTTAAGGAGTTTGAAATTCAGATTTAGGATAATCAAAATTCATTAAATTATTAAAAATTCATGTTATTTTCTTATCTCTCAAAGCGTTCTGTGCAATCAATGAAAGTTCTTCGTATTTATTTGGAATTTATAATTTCTCTAAAAACAACAATATTTCATTAATTTTTGGTCTTCCTTTTGGATTTAGACAAAGTAAACTTAAAATAAGTGGTTCTATTTAAGAGGGTAATTTTGAAATAACCTTTTTTAATGAAGGTTCTTTATCATTAATAAATTCTAAGAACATAGGCAATTATGATACTCCTTCCCAATTTTATTCCTAATATATAAATCTATATATACATTGATCGTTCCTATGAGATCTGCAATTTGTGACATGATTTCTATTTCTGATCTTCCATCAAATAAAATTCTTCCAGTATACAATTCTATTAGGGTGCAACCTAAAGACCAAATATCAATAGAATGATTATATTCCTTTTATCCTAGGAATAGTTCTGGAGCCCTATAATTCTTTGTACATATTTAAGGTGTCATAATTTATTTAATTTTGGTTGAAATTCCAAAATCACCTAATTTCACTCTGCCTTCACTTGTAACAAAAATATTGCTAGGTTTGATATCTCTATGTAAAATATTTTTGCTGTGTAAATAATTGACAGCCTAACATATTTCTTTGAAAATATAGAGTTAACAATCTTATAAATTGTAAAGGATTTCATTAAGAGGTGTCATATATTCCATTGTGAGACATAGATATTTTTTGTATTCATACTATTCTGTAAAGGCATCTATAATATTCATAATGTTAGGATGTTAAAGTTATGTTAAGAATTGATATTCTAATAGATTTGTGTGGTTTTAAGGATCTGATGACTATATTATGAAATTAGATTATTACTTTTCTATAATATCTTTTTAGAACAAAAGGTTAACGTTTTATATTTGGAGGATCATTTTCAGAATTTTTTTCAATTAAATAGACTTTTCCTGCATATCCTTTAAATAGACATTTGATTTTAGTATAGCTATAATTTTACTACATTATTTTTAATTAATTTGAATTAAATTGCTAAGAAATATTTATATGTAAATAGTGAACTAAAATAATAGTTAGATTTAAAAAAAGTTGAGAGTAGATTAGAAAATATAAATAAAAAATAAGTGATTAGAGAATGAATAAAAATATTTAGTTTTTTATTCTGAAATAATAATAAAGTGATTGAGGAATAAAGAAATTTAAAAATTTAGATATTATTTTTTTAATGGTAAACCTTAGATTGTAAAAGAGATTAGCTGCAACATAATTAAAGGTTGGTGTTAATAGAGTTTGGTTAGACCCAAATGAAGCAAGTGAAATAAGTCTAGCAAATTCAAGAATGTCAATAAGAAAATTAATAAAAGATGGTTTAATAATGAGAAGATTGAGAACAATTCATTCAAGAGCAAGAGCAAGAAGATTCTTAGAAGCAAAAAGAAGAGGTAGACATACAGGTACTGGTAAAAGAAGAGGTACAAGAGAGGCAAGAATGCCAACTAAAGTTCTTTGGATTAGAAGATAAAGAGTTTTAAGAAGATTATTAAGAAAATATAGAGCATCAAAGAAAATAGATAGATAATAGTATATAATATAAATAAATACATTTAGATATCATGAATTTTATTTAGCTTCAAAAGGTAATCAATACAAGAATAAGAAAGTTTTGATTGAAGCAATTCATGAAACAAAATAAGAAAAAGTTAGAGTAGATAAAATTGAGAAAGAATAAAATGATAGAAGAGAAAAGAATAAAGCTTAAAGAACAAAGAAAACTCAAAATAAATTTGCAACAGAATGATTTATACATATTTAGTACAATAAAAATATTGTTTATATTCATTTAATACATCTGGGACATATATATTTATCAATTTTATTAATATCTTAATCTTAGAGTTATACACAATCTAAATGATACCAATTATCACATTCATCACATTAAATCATTTATAGATCAGGATTTTGTGGTAATTAACATACACAACTCTTTTTCCATAATTTTATATTTGGTCTAGGTTCCATTGATTATAGATCAATTGCTGCTCTGCTAAAAAATATTGTTTCTTCTTCAAATTCAAGTTCAGAATATTCTTCAAAAGTTAATACTTTTATTCCTACTTAAATTTTATTAGCAGGTAAATATTCTGAATGAGTAGAAAAAAAGAGTTCTTTATCAGAAATACATTTCATAAGTTTTTAATCTATTTTAAGATCTTATTTTGAATAATACCTAAGAATTTAGAATAATTATAATACCATTATACTTATATAATAGGAATGAAAGTATTTGTAGGATCTCTAATACAATAGATCTTAATTAATTTAGCTGAATAAATATCATCATTAAGAGCACAAACAGCTACATCTTAATTGACATGATATATTTTATTAGATTTTTGAATAGTATTGTACTTTTTAATTCTATGATAGAAATTGAATATGCTAATACCTTGTGGGATCTTTCTTTAGATAGAGTTATATTAAATGGCCATATTTATCATTTTTAACTAATTCATTAACTGTATTGGATGTGATTTGATTAGTTTTTTCTTCTTCACTCATTTATTAATAAATTTATTATTGAGTATGAAGTCTTTGATTTGTTTTTAGAGAATGTCTATATTAATTAAATAATTGCAGGATTTCTATTTTTTATATTAAAAAGATTTAAATTAATTTTTAGATAATGGTAACAATAACAATTAAATTAAGGCTGATAAATAAGAATAACCTGTTCAATAACAGAAAGGAAAGAAGGGAAAGAAAACTGGAGAAGAAACAACATAATAAGTAGTAGCTACTTTAGGACCAAATGTAGCAGGAAATGAATTAGTATTTGGAGTAGCTCATATCTTGTCTACATGGAATGACACATTCATTCATATAACTGATTTAACAGGTAGAGAAACATTGGCAAGAGTCACAGGTGGAATGAAAGTTAAATCAGATAGAGAAGAATCATCACCATATGCAGCTATGCAAGCAGCTAAAGATGTTTATGAAAAATTAAAAACACTTAAAATTAATGCTTTACATATTAAATTAAGAGCTAGAGGAGGTATTAATTCATCTTATATTTTATAAGGAGTTGATACTAGATAGCCAGGACCTGGTGCTTAAGCTGCATTAAGAGCATTGGCTCGTTTGGGACTTAAAATTGGAAGAATTGAAGATGTTACACCAATCCCAACTGATTCTACAAGAAGACCTGGAGGTAGAAGAGGAAGAAGGTTATGATAAGTCAAAATACACATACATTATATTATACATATGTACATTTATTAATTAAAATATGATTTTTGATCTTTAACCACCATCTCCATCTCTATCTCCTAACTCTAGAGTTCGATACTATTAAGAATAGTTAGATAAAGCTCATGAAATTATAGATCAATTAGAAATTTTACTACATGAAAAAGAACTACAAAAATCTTAAACTAATCATCCTTCTAATTGCTAAGTATTTATACCTCCTCTTTCATTTCATTCAAAATCACCTAGTATTAATGGTGAAAGATCAAAAAGTTATGTTGCTACTCCTTAATAATATTCCACTCCTAGAGATCCCAGAAATCGTATGTCTATGGGTAATTAAAGCTCTATCAAATATATTGAAGAAATGAAAACAAGACATACAGAACTTGTTTAATAATTCAAAGAAGATAATTCATATAAAGAATTAAAAAATAAAGAAATCAATGATCATATCTAAGAACTAAAAACAGAATTAATTTATTGTTAACAAAAATAAACTATTACTAAAAAAGAAAAAATATAATCCTAATAATAATTGGAACACCTCCAAAATGAAATTGAAAACATTCAATACTAATTAAATAATTCCAAACAATAAGGATTGTTGTTATACTAAAAACTATAACAATTTAAATAAAATAATTAAGATACTGAATTCTAAGAAGAAGAATCAGAGAAAAATCATAAATTAGCAACTCCTTAATCATAACAAAATAGTAAATTCAAAAATTCTACTAGTCATAAAAAACTTATGTAAACTTTACAATAAGAAATTGAATTACTTGAAGCTTAAAAACAACAATATTTTAACACTTCTGTTTCAAATTTCGAAGAAAAAGAAATTGAAACTAATCATTTTAATGATAGAATAGTAAAAAATGTTTAATTTCTATATTTAGATCGAAAGTAAATAATAAAATTTAAGGATTGATACTTTAGATGATGTAAGATTAGTAACAGATTCTGGTTATAAATTATTTACATAAGTAGATTAAGATAATGAATCAGTAAAGTCCTTTAAAATTAAAAAGTAGAAACCAAGAAGTTGTGAATCATGTATCATATTCTGATTTCAGTATTTAAACATTAATATAGTTTTTATTTTTTATTTTATCAAATCAGATTAATTAAATTAAATAGCACTTTTTATGACATTTGATTTAAATATAAAAAAATCATGAAAAAGATGTTTCAAGAAAATGAAGAACTAAGAAAAAATTTAAAATACTTTGTTGAAAGTTAGAAGTAGGTCCTAAGATGGCCTTAAATTGCCTAATAATTGGAAACGCTTCATGATATAAAGATTGATATACCATATGAATTAAAATAGATTTATTAGGATTATTGTTGTCCCAAACCAGAAATAGAATCAAATAATTTATAAATTTTGATGCAAACTATAATTGAATGTCGATGTGATATGTCATCTACACTTGAAAAGTTTGTTGAAAGAAGTGGTATTAAGTATTCTAATTTATATTACTATTAGAATTTCATGCTATTTATTAACTAGTAGAGCTTAATAAATCTTTAAAAAAGCTATAGAAAAAGGAATAATGGTATTTGTAAGGAATAAAACAGAATAAAAAAAAAGATTAACTAATTTTCCAAAAGCAAATATTGTTAGACTTATTAAATGTTTAGATTTAAAGCCAAATAATGATCATAGTAGGATGGTTCTTGAAGCAGCTAATTGTCTAAAAGAATTATTATTAGCATATTCTTTAAATAAGGATAAGGATCGTTCAGTTTATTATGAAGAAATAAAGGAAAAGATGAATAAAAATTAATTCTTTCGAACTCTTTTATGTTTATCATTTCTTGATGATTTACGTATGATAAGTTAAAATTTAATAACATAAGATAAATAATTATTGCCCGATTATTTTTTATAAGATACAATAGATAAAAATAAAGGATTGGAAGTTTATTAGTTTTTATATGTATCAGATATGTAGATGAAATATTAAATGTATAATGATTCAAAAGACTTACAATAAGATTAAGAATTTAAGTATTATGTAGAGGAATATTAATATAATAAATTTAAGAAGCTTTCAAAGGAATTGATTTAAGAGAAACCAATGAAAAGAAGTATACAGACAGTAAGAGGGAAGATTATTACAAATACTAAATATTATCCAAGCAAAAAGACTATAAAATTTAATAAAGACTTAAATAAAAATTTTGATGATTAAGAGGATGATTCTGCAGGATGTTATAGAGTAGATATTCCTTTATTTAAGTAAAATTGAAAATCTAGTAATATGGAAATATTTTTATATTTTTTATAATAAATAAAATCAAAATTAATAATAGTGATTATTAAAAATAAATGGAATGTCCAATGTGTTATGAATTATATGCTTAAAATAGAGTGGCAAGAAACCTTCTATGTGGTCATACATATTGTACTATGTGTCTTGAAACAATGTATAATGTAAATAAGAGAATCGAATGTCCACTTTGTAGGACAAAACATGAAGCTCACATAAAACCTCATAATTTAAGCAAGAATTTTGTAGCTATGGATTTAGCTTCTAAATTTTAAGAAGAATAGTAAGCAGGAGCAATTAATAATTAGAAAAACATTTGAACTCTGTTCAATACATTAGAAATATCCATTGTAGTTTTATTGCGAAGATGATTAATCAAATATGTGTACAGAATGCATAACTGAACATTATGGTCATAAATTCTTTAAATATGAACATTCAGGTATTATTTTAAATGTTTATATTAGTTTCTTTATAAATGAATAGAGTAAGTAGAATCTAATAAAAATTGAAAAGTCATTATGAATGTTTGGAAAAATAAATGAAGAATTTTGATGATTGTAAAGAGTAATTAGAATTAGATAATATAAAATTGGTATATGAAATGAAATAGTATATATAGATTCAATAAATAGATGATTAAATAGATAAATTAATTGCGAAATGTGAAAGAAGGAGAAAAGAATTAAAGAATAAATTGTTAGAAATATTTGATTAAGAAAGTGAATAAATAAAATTAGGATTAGCATATAATTAATCCTTATTATTAAATATGGATTAAATATTATATAAATTGGAATAAAAACATAATGAATTAAGTATAATAAATGAAATAAGTAGAGACTACAAAAGTATATAAGGGAAATGATTTAGTTAAAGAGATAAATAATTTAGATGAAGAAGCAGAGAGAGATATCATTCAATTAAAATAATTAAAAAAGAGTGATTACAGGATACTACCAATATTAAGTTTTGAATAAAGAATATTAAATGATATAGGAAATTATGGATAATTTAAGAAAAATGTGAGTAATCCATAGATTTGTTTTTTTGGTGAGAAGCATAAAATATTAGTTTATAATATTGAAGCAAATGATTGGTAATACAGATAAATAACAAATGTATAATATAATAAATTAATAGATAAGAATACATTTGATTATAATTATTATGCTGCGGCAGCAAGTCTACCAAATGGTGATATAATAATAACAGGAGGAGGAGTTAGTAGAAATGCAATGTTAATATGTCCATCTAAAGGATTTTAATAATAAGCTTTAAAGAGTATGTATTATCCAAGAAAAGAACATGCTTGTGTATATTTAGATGAATGTATATATGCAATAGGAGGGTAATATTAATAAATAATCTAATTAGTTATGATGGAACTACAAAATAAATGTTATCTTGTTGTGAAAAGTATAGTTTGGCTACAGATGAATGGAAAATGATTGATCCACTTTAAAAATAAAAATGTGCTTTTGCTGCTGCTACTGCTTTAAATAAATATATTTATGTATTTGGTGGATTTGATGGGAGAGAAAGATAAAATACTATTGAAAGATATTCTGTTAAAGATAATTAATGGAAAATATTAGATATCAAATTTAAATAAGGATTTAGTAATGCAGCAGCGCTTTCTTATGATGATAATTCGATTCTCATTTTAGGAGGAGGGTATATATACATTTTATTTTAATTCTTAGTTCTAATTAAGGCTTTTCTAATTAATTATAAATATTTGATACAAATAATTAAACTATTAAAGTTATTGGTATGATGAATGAAGGTAGAGATTTAAGAAATAAATTAATTATTTATAATAATAATTTATATGCATGTGGAGGTAATAGTTATTCTATTGAAAAGTTTTAAATCACTTAATAAGTTTGGGCTAATCTTAAGTATTTATTTATCAATATTTTATTTATTAGAAGTTATGATTATTTAGTTTAAGATAACTTAGATTCTTGGTGTAGTGCTTTTACATTTGATGCTTACAATCCATTATCTATCAATAATTCAATTAAAAATTATGATTAAAAAGTAATAATATCATTTTTTATATTTCATTTTTAGTAAAAATAAAATCAAAAACCATAATTTTAAGAATTTGAAAATGATTCATTTAATCAAGATGCATTTAGTGATGTATCAGATAATCAATTTGAAGGTATTTTAGAATGATTTGTTTCAATTATAAATTAATTAATTTTAAATATAAATAACAAATCAATATGTAAATAATCTCAATATTTAACAATAATATCTCATAAAATACAATTCTATTCTGTGTTTTAATGGTAATTTCACTTTTTTATTATTGGCTTATTATTCTGTTTGTGGTAGTTTATCATAAAATTTTTATCTTCTGAAACAAACCTTCATCATTTATATTAAAATTATTAATAGTATTGTTAAAGGTAATAATATTGGAGCAAAATCTATTAGTATTTTTTAAGTGACATTTGATTAAACTATTCCATCAGCATAATTTTTTATTGATGTTAAAATATCCTAACATTAAATACAACAAATCAAAACTAAGAGCATCCCTAATTTTATCATTCACTCAAAAACGCTTTTTAATTATTTTAATATAAATATATTAATTTAATTTTTTTCATGTTTAATCAATAACCATTTATTTATTATATTATAGCAGATCTTTACAACATAATTGACTATAAATATTTTCTTTTCTCTTAAATTTAAAACTTATTTAGTGAAAAGTTTTCATTTAATTCTCTCTCCAATTATCTAACAATTTTATATTTATTTCTTATACCTAATTTAAAAATCTAAATTCTATAATTCAATTCTCAACTATCCTACATCTGCATATTATTATTATTATTATTAAGATTAAAATTATTATGGTTATTCCTATATTATTTATTATTATTAATATTATTAATATTATTATCTTTATTATCTTGTTTCCTCTACAAGCATTTATGAAGATATTGATGATTTACCACTTTAATTTATTTATCTCTATTTTGTATTCAATTATTAAGACATTTAAGATTAATTATCCTATATTTAATCATCTACTAATATAGGTTAAATCTTAGGAGGAATCTAATTTAATGGATGTTTTTTCGCCAAATAATCTAAAATATGAACAGTCCCTTTATCTATTATTTATCTACTAATTAATTTTGTTGGATTCCCATCAATTTATAATGTTTTTAAAGACATGAAACCTAAAATTGTAGGAAATGTTCTCATATTATTATTTTATAAATTTAAATGCTGTAAATTAGGCATTTTAAAATAGATATCCTATATTCCTAAAATAATTCTTTACATCACTCAATTAATCTATTGAATTGCTACTAATATCAAGTACTTCTATAATTGATTCCTTTTATAATAAACTCTATATTGAATCTATTTAATTATAAGCTAATAACAATCTTCTGAGTTTTAATAAATCAGGTATAAATTTAGGAATCTGTTAAAGTTAATTCTTACCTAAATCAAGATGAATTACTAAAAAATAAAGTAAAATATATACAATTTGGTAAATATACTTATTCTTTTGAAGGTAATTATTAAATTTTATTTTATCTCAATTCTAATTCAACTAAATCTCTTAAATTAAACAAATATAATGAAATCTTAGAAATCTTATTTTCATTAAAACTAACTTTTTTAAGATTTTATAATTATTGTATTTAATCTGGTATAACTTCAATGTTATTTTATGAAAAATCAATAATAATCAAATTAGTTAATCTAAATACACAATTATCTATTTGATTTATATTTTTTTATCTTATAGCTAATTCATCTTTATGTAAGAAATTTCTTAAATATTCTTCCCATATATTATTAGTTTAATATAACTATTATTTTAATTTTGGATCTGCTTAAATTTCTAATTTAGCTGCATCTTCAGTCCTTTATTAAAGATATTTTTTTAATTAAAGAGCTCCTGCACTTCTAATATTAGATCTGATACATTTTAATGGATTGCCTTCTAATTATATTCTTACTAATTAAGTTAAAAATCCTAATTATGACGGTAAATCTCCTAAATCATTATTTGATATATCAAGAGTCTTTAAGTTTTTTAAATTAATAATTTCTTAATGCAATTCTTTTATTTTATTATTATTTAATAAAAGTACAGATAAATTTTAAATTCCTTCATAACAATTATATACTTCTAATTAATTGAAAGATAATTGAATTGAATCTAAACATTCATGATTAATTCCAAGTAATTCTTGAGTAAAATATTTAAGTTTATTTTCTTTTAAATCTAATATTTTTAATTAAATAAGATTATGAAATGATCCCTCTTCTATAAAAGTAATTAAATTCTTAGATAATTATATATCTTCTAATTTCTTACACTCTATTAAATCTAATTGTTTAATTGTTTGTATTTTATTTCCAATAGCACATATCTTTTTAATTAAAGGAGGTAGATAAGATGGAAGTTGCTAAAATTAATTATTGGAAATATCAAGTAATTCTAAATTTGGAAAATAGAGATTATCAATTCCAGTTAGTTTATTATCAGCTAAATTCAATTCAACTATAGAATCAAGTCGACAAGAAAATTCTACTAATTGATTATTTTGAAGTGTTAATGATTTCAAATTTAAAAATTGCTAAGTCAAATCAAAATGAAATCTGCTAATTTTATTGTTTCCTAATCTCAATACTTATAAATCTTATAATCTAAGTATTCATATGAAATATACGTATCATAAAGTGGTATTTCTTGAATGCTATTATTGGTTAAATCCAATTTAGTTAAAGGACATTTTTACCACCATTCTTCTCCCTCTAAATTTATTGTGTCAATATTAATTATTTCATCTGGAAAATCTTATAAATCATAATGCACTAAGGCTAGATTTCCTGTTTGCCAAGCTTTCTTAATTGCTGCTATAAATGCTTTATTATTAAGTAAATTTGATTTTCTTTTATTTGTTGTTTAAACAGGAACAACGAAATTTGCTGGTCCTTTTTCTTCTTTAATATCTTATTTTTATTAAAGGTGACCAAATGGCTTTTATTCTCTCAAAGGAACTCTATTTTTCATTTATTATTTTTTAAAATATTTACAAAACTTTATAATTTCTTTTATAATCAATATATATATTTATGATCTCTTATTTTGAAAATATATTTTAGATTATTTTTAGCAAATTTTATTAATGAATAGAATAAGTGGGAATATTAAGAAACAATTAAATTAAAATTCAGAAAATATAAATTTTAGATATTTTGATTTAGTAAAATCATAATTAATTAAATTAAATTGTTTGTGTGAATATTGAAGAGTTAATATTTTTTTCAAGTAAAATATTTTGTATGCTTTTTTTTTTATTATTCCAATATTTTTGAGGTAAATAGTGTTTCACTTCTGAAATCTAATAATAAAAATAAAACAATGCTAAAAAAGTGTACAGATAATCCAAAAATAGCAGAAACATTAAAATAACTTGTTTAGGAAAGGGGATAAAAGAGATGGCCAGAAATCGCTAAAGTATTAGAATCTATGTATGATATAAAAATTGAAATTCCATTTACTTTAAAAGCTATATATTAAGATATAATGAATCCAAGACCTGGTTTGAATACAGAACAATTAAAATTATTAGTTACTACAGCAATGAAATATAGATCAGTAATAAGATTGGCATTACCAGAGTTTTAAAAAGTTTCAGGAATAGGGTTTATATAATTTAATATTTTTTTAGAATTTCTAGACACAAATTTGTTAGTAGATTATACAGATTTTATAAGAACACAATTTTAGCAGGAATTCAGATTTTTATTAGAAATAAAATGGATTATAGAAAAAGATTATCTAAATTTCCAGGTTAATCAATTGGAAGAATATTATAATGTAAAGAATTAACAGGAGAGGATGAATTTACAATTAGATTAAAAATAATGGCAGATCAATTAGAAATTTTATTAAATTGTTATTTATAATTAGAAGATGAAAGAGATTATTCATAATTGTATGACATTTTAACTCCAAAAATGAATAAGAAAACATTTTTTTTATTATTAAATTGTATATCATTTATGGATGATTTGAGATGCATTCAATAAAATGTTATTAAATAAGATGATGAATTAATGCCTGATTATTGGTTATAACCAACAATTAAGGAAAATAAAGAACTTTTAGTGTATAAAAAATTATTTTTAGATGATATGGAATATAAATTTAGAATATATACAGATTCCTAAGATGTTTAAACTGAGATAGATTTTAAATTCTTTTTAAATAATGCATACATGAAACCCAAATCAGTTGTAACCTAAAGATCGGCAAAATTAAAAACTGTAAGAGGAAAAATAACAGTAAATGATAAAAAATATCCAAGTGATAAAACTATTATTTTTGATTAACCAGAAGAAGAGAGTGAATAAGAAGGTTATGAAATAGATTTTAAGAAACATCGCTTATTAAATAAGGATTGATATTATAATATGATATTAATAATTAATATTGATTAATTTTATTAACCAAATTACTTTATTGATATAAATATCTTCAAGCTAAATAAATAATATAATAATAATATCGAGAATTTTATAATTGATTTAGTGAATAACTAAAAAATATCAAATAATTATTAATATAATCTATTGATATAAAGTGAATTTAATTTAGAATTTTTCAGTATTAATAAAAATAAAATAATATATTTGGCTAAGTAGTTAACTAGCTCCTGATCCAGAAATAAGATAAAAATATGAAAAGGTTGCATAGTAAAAGAAATTATAACTATTGAAGAAGAAAAGAATTTTATAGGAAATTCATTCTATTCGAGTATGAATAATGGGAAAAAATATTCAATAAAAGTATTGATAAAGAAGAAATTTGATGCAGTATGTGATAAATATATGCAACCGAATGTTAATGTAATAAATAAATTCCTGATTTAAAATTTTATTCAATTGATTAGTTTCAAGAATTTATAACCATCAATATTTTAATTTATTTTAGTATCAAATTAGAAAAGGTGAACTGTTTAAATAATAATTACTTCTAATAATTTATTTTAATTATTAATGTTTAGTGATAAAAAGAGAAATGTAATAATAGGAACATTAAGTGTTGTTACTTTAGGTGCTATGATATGGAAGATCTTTGATAAGAAACATTAAGTTACGTAAACTGTAAGCGATGAGAATTTAATTAAATTTATTAAGGATTTAAAAGGTTAATCATTCCTTCATTTTTTTTGGTATCAGGCATAGTTAAAGAAATGAAATTAGGGGGAAAAGCAGAACTCTAAGAAATACTTATAAAATTTAAGTAAGAAGTAGAACCTCTCTTTGAAGAGAAATAAATTATGATTCTATACAGATTAAACTTAGAAAAAAGAGAAGTAGAGTAAAGCATCTTATTGAGTTAAAACAATGAAGTGAAGAAATTGTATGATTAATTTTAATAATTATATGAAGATGCTCTAGAGGACATTGCACCCGAAATAAAATTGAATGATTAGACTATATTAAAATTTAATGAAGACTTAAATTAATGGGGAATATATTAACAGTATCTATTGACGTAATTTGTCTAACTATAGAAGAACTATTATAAAGATATGATTGTCCAATGGAATTAAAATAGATTAACCAATATTTATGAAAACTTTAGAAAGAAATCGGTTAATTGATAAGAAACTAGAACTTTATAATCACTTTAAGTAAATGAATATGAACCTGATGAATAATATCCTAATGAATTATTTTTCAAATTGATTTAATATTGGAAAGAGCAAAATCCAAAATTTAAACAGTGTGTAGAGAGTTTCTACTGAAAATATCATTTAAAAAATTTAAAAGAAGGAATTAGATTCAGAAAGTGCAAAAAATGCATCAGCTAAAATAGATTTAGATGAAATAATAAAAAAACTTAAATGAATATCATTGATCTTATTATTCTATTTTTAAATCTCTTTTAATTTATTCTTCTAAATCTATAGCATTTTCATGTTTTTAAAAATCTTTATTATTCAATTACTATTATAATTCTTAGAATACAAGAGATGGTGGAAATGGACAACATCCTTCAGCTGTCAATCTAAAATATAAATAAATTGACAAACTTTGCAGGAGGTGTCTCAACAATTGGTAATTCTTTGGAATCAATTGTAGGCTCTAATTAATTTTAGTAATTTGTGACTCTTCTAAAATCTATTCGATTTACAAAATATTTAAATATTATTCCTTTTTCTAACTTTTCAATAGTCTTAATAAATCAATGATTTTTACAGTCGTTGAGAAAGAATACATATCTAAATACAAATAATATAGGATTCCAATTAATAATGAGCTAATAAATGTCAAAGATTGTTGGATTAAAGTAAAGATAGTAACAAGTATAATCAGGTAATATTTATTTTTTAGTTACATAGGAATAATCAGGAATTGACTTTATAGATTTGGATGCATAAGGCATCTTGAAATGATAGTATAGGTAATACTCTTGAATAATTAAGAATATGTAGTAATTCCATAAACTATAAGCTGGATTTTAGTAGAAAGGAGGATAAATATATGAAAAGATATATTATAAAATAAGGCAGAGTAACTACAATGATATAATGATTGTATTTTACTTAAGAAATAAAACTTAGAATAATTATTGTGATAATGAAAGCAACAGTGCCTAATTTGATTTCAAAATCTTTGAATTTATTATAGATGCATACGATAGCTAAAATCAAATCAATGCTATATTCTAAAGAATAAAATAAATTTAAATTGATACTATGTACAAATTGTGCAAATATTAATCTTTAGAATTAATAAGGTATTGTTGTTTCTGGTGAACTACTGAAGATTTTAAAAGCAAAAAGTGTAAATATATCAATAAATCCGAATATTGTTGAAATGATTAAGATAACTTTGGTTCCAAAAAGATGTGATTACCACCAAGTTTTAAGGAAGGAATCCAATCTTGGATTTGTATTATTGTCCAATTATTATTGATTCATTATATTAATATTTTATATATTCTAATAATTAATCACTTGAATACAACTGCATAAGTGTTGTTTTATTAAGTGAATTCAATATTAAATGATTAAGCATTCTACCAGCTACTCAATTTCAACTGTCTAATCTACTCAGTTGTGAGTACTTTTAATTATTAAGTGTCTGCTAAATTAATAAATGTAATAGGTTTCAGATTATTTTTATTTGCCTATTTGCTTAAATCTTTGTTCCATTTATTAGGTTGATTTCCATTATATTTCCAAGCAATGATAGTTAATTAATTATCAGAAACGTAAGTATATTCATCAACTTATCCATTTGACTTTTTTTATCCTTTAGTGATTGCTTCTTGTGTATATAATTAAGCTAATAAATTTGGTTGTGATCTATAATTAATTCTGTTAATTTCAACAGATTGACTTCCATAGTATGTTAATGTGCTATCATATAATTATTCATTTAAGAAATCCAATAGGATTACAATAGTATATTTACCTTTTTATAAATCAACATTAACAAGCAAAGTTTTAAATTTTCCATAATCCTAAGCAATCAATTTTTATTGTGGATCAAAAACTAATAATCTAGCATTACAATAATCATATTTTTTTGAAATATTATTTCTAAAATATCTTTCATCTCTTTAATGTAATCTAAATGTAGCAACAGTATCTTAATGTACATCTACATGAAAAGATGAATAAGCATCATTATTTGCTTTTAAATTATAACTGATATGATAATTATTAGGAACATATTTAGCAATAGTAATTTATTAACCAATGATATTTTTGATAGGAACTTTGAATTCGCCTTCAGATTAAGAATTATTAGGTAGATTTTGATTCCAACCCCATGGGTTACGTAATGTAATATCTTTACCATCTTAATTTAAAAAAGTGAAAATTCCATCTGGTAAATGAATTAAAGCAATATCATTTTAAGTTAAAGATTATAATAGATTTTCATTGATTTATTCAACAGAAGTAGGTGCTCCTGTAGTTTCTTAAAGAAAATCAGCAACATTAGAATTTTTGAATGCATCTTCATAACTTCCATATTCTTTAGCAAATGCTTTTTCAATAATAAATGGCCATATTTCTGATGGATAACCTGGATTAGATTTTTATAATGATCTAAAATATTGAATATAAATAAAAATACTTTAATTTATTATTATCAATAGTGGTTGTTGCTCCAACAGGTTATCCCTTAAAATAACCAAGTAAATCATCGACTAATATATATTTCCATACTCCTCCAATACATAAACGAGCATAATAAAATCCAAATTCATTAATAATTTAATCTTCCATAATTCTAGTAATTAATTATGGTTATTCTGCAATTGCTGCTAATACTTACATAAGAGTTCCTGATAATTATCCAGGGACTATATCATTTGGATCTACTACTTAATGAGTATCTTAATCTCTTCCGAGATTAAATCTTTTAAAATCAACTTAACCATGTCCAAAAACTTAAAATACCTATAAATCATTAGGAGGAAATGTTGGATCTGTAAACTCTTTTTAGGGTGCAAATTTCAATGATAATTTCTTACTTACTTCAATATTATTTTTAGGTTCCAAAGCTGTGATTCTATCTTCAGGCATTATTTTAATATTTTTAACAACATCTTTAACTGCTTATGTATTCTTTCCTCTTCTAACAAAATTAGGTCTATTCTCAGATATTTATGGTGGTTATTAATTTTATTAATCATCTTAATCAATTCTATTTTATTAAGGCTATTATTAGTTCTATTAATTTTTCTTTTAAGATTAATCATTCTTAGAAGGTTATTCAATTTAAGTTGGTTATTCAACTTTAGCAGGTTGTTCAAATTTACTTATTGGAGGAGGTTATTAATTCTTTTATTCATCCTTTTTGGCTGATTATTTATTTGAAATTGATTTTGTAGGATCAACAATCTCTTTTGATGGAGGAGCAGGAGTTTATTTTTAGTTTTATTATGTTTTATTTGTAATTGGAGTTTATGATTATGATGGTTATTACTATGGAGTTTTTGTTTATTAGGGAGTTTTAGTTTATTATGGTGTTTATGATTATTATGGTTATTATTGTGGCTAAGGTGTTTTTGTTTAGGATTACTATTATACAGGAGTCTTCTATTAATTTTATTATTATTTAGGATCTGGAGTTTAAAATGGTTGAGTTATATTAGGTTTTGCAGGAGTTTATTATTATTATTATTACTTTTATTATTATTATTATTATGGTGTATCCTTATTTCCTGTATTATTTTATGTTTATGCTTATCCTTTCTTAGGATCAGTATTTGATATCTCTTAGTCACTTTTTTTACTTGTACTTTAAGGAGGAGGTGTACTTGGTATTATTGAACTATTGTTCGACTTAAATATTACGTTTTATATATACTTTATCTACTTTTGAATCATTTCTACTCTTCTTTCTTAAAAGACCATCAAGAAAATCTGGATCACTGTTTTGATTTTTGAATTTTTCATCATCATCATCGACTTTACTTCTTGCAAAACTTGAAATACCAGGATCATCATCATCATCATCTTAGATGTCTCTTGCTCTACCAGTTAATTATCTCATATTTGGTCGACGGTTAATTAGTTAACTTGTTTAATACATAATATAAATTTAATTATGTTTTCAAGATTCTATTTTAATATTATTTTCACTATCTTTTTATAAACAAAAACTTTAAATATTTTATAAATATCTATCTAGCAACCTTTTTACTTATAATTTTATGTTATACTATAAATTTAATCATATTATAAACTCTATTTTTATTATTATTATTATTCATTTAAAATAAAATAATCACACACATCTTATTATAGTATCATTATATAATCAAATATCCTTAAAACTTATATTTATTAATTTATTATATATAAAGTATATCAAGATTTTTTCATTAATTAAGTTAATACCTATTTTTATTATTTATTATCATTATTTAAACTTTTATATTTTCTTTTTTTTGGATTCATTTCTTTATCCAAATTCTCCGCTATGTGAAAATCATTGTGTTCATCTTTTAATGTCTTTAGAATCTCTTGTTAACAATTTTCACATTTATAATAATCTTAAGGAGATAATTCCTTTTCCACTTCCTCTATTATTTTAGATATTTTATCTTATTCTTAACTTTCAATCACTTTCTTAAAATAACTAGTGATTGGATTTTAAATACCTTAAGACATAGTCTTAAAGTATCTACAACTTAATCCTATCAATACTAATGGAAATAGATCACTATCTTAAATTGAATTTAAAATCGAATTTACTCTATCCTCAATTTATATTCTGAAACTATCTATTGGAAGACTTAAAAATACAGGTTCACTCTTTTAATGAGAACCTTTCTCAATATTATGATAATGAAGAACTACAACTGAAGGAATAAGATTTGTATCTTCAAAGTAATCAGTTACTCTCATTGTAAGATCATGGATTATTAATTCTAAAGATTGATGAATTGTATCTCTAGAAAATGTTTTTTTTATATTCTTCAGAGATAGGATAGATTTATGTTTCTATTCAGAATCTTTCTTTACTTCCTCAGTATCATAACCTCTTAATTTATCAAAAACAAATTAAGCCTTTTCTGCAAATAACATTTCTAATTAAGCTAATGTTAATTTCTAAGCCTAACCAATTGTTTAGATTTCACTCTTAATAAATGCATGTTTTATTTTTCCACCAAATCCTCTAATCTTTTTTATATTGAATTCAGCTATACAATTTGGTAACATACATTCTAAGATAATAGTTTATTTATTAGGTTTATTTGTAGAAGATGCAAGCTTGGATAGCATTTTATTAAATGAAATACCAGCACTACATTTATATTAGGTTTCACTATATATGGTATCTCTAATTTATTAACATAATTATGAAGCTTTCATTATTAAGATATCTTATTCAGTTAATTTATAATCTTGTGGTAGATTACACATAAGATTTCCAACAAATTCATTCTGTTCAATTTTCTCTAATTCATTTTCACTTACTTATATGTAACATTCATCAGTCCCGCCTTTTTCAACATGACCACAAAATTTCTTAATAATTGCAAAAATCAATTTACTTTCTTCTCTATAATATCTAAGACTTATTTTTTCTTCGATTTAATTATGCTAAGTGAATTTATCTTGAATAGTTGAAAAAATCATTTTCCCATCTGAAATCTTAAAAGTTTCAACATGAGGTAAAAATACCTCTGGACATAATTTTAATGCTTCATCTGATAACATACCTCTTTTTATTCCTGCAGCTCTTGCAGGATAATTTATAGCAATTAAAGTATTCCATTATCGAGCACAAAGTGGTTAATCATCTGGAATTTTTAATAATTTTTGTTCTGCTTATGCATAATATGCATCCATATCTATATGAATGTATATATCAAGTAATAAATTCATTAAATAATTATAATAATTGATTGGATGTTAAAGTAACTTATTTATAAAATAAATTGATATCAAGTATGTTTATCAATTTTTAAAGACAGAAAGTTAAGGATGTAGAAATAAAGTGATTTAATAAGATTGAATAAATAAAACATATTTAAATATAGGTTTAATTTTATAATTAAATAAAATGGGAGTATAAATTTCGAGATTATGTAAATATTTTAGGGGAAATGATTCAAAAGTTTATTAATAACAGAATTCAGGATCAATTTCATAACATAGATCAAAAATATTTGTATTGGATAACTCTGATGGATATGATATTGAACCAAAATAACATTTTCATCATGCTGAGTCAATAGTAAAAATAGAATGGAAGAAAGGAGAATTGATAGGATAAGGATCTTTTGGTAGAGTTTATAAATGTATGGATATAAAGACAGGAAGAATATTAGCTGTAAAACAAATCGAATTAGGTTATGTGGATAAGGAAAGTTTAGAGTCGTTTCATTAAGAAATTAAAATACTTAGTCGATTGAAGCATAAAAACATAGTAAAATATTATGGATGTGACGAAGATAAAAATCATTTGAGCATTTTATTAGAATACGTAGGAGGTACCAGTGTGCATTATCAAATCAGGTGGCTCGATTACCTATATGATGAAGAAATTTAAGTACAATCTTAAAGAGCCAGTGATTCAAAAATATGTATCAGATATACTACATGGACTTGTTTATTTACATGGCGAGGGAATTATCCATAGAGACATCAAGGGAGCAAATATCATAGTTGATACAAAAGGAGTCTGTAAACTAGCAGATTTTGGATGTAGTATAATAGGGTCTAATGCTTATTCATTAAAGGGTACTCCGAATTGGATGGCACCAGAGGTAATCAATTCCTAAGAGACAGGCAGATATTCAGATATTTGGAGTCTAGGATGCACCATTATAGAAATGTTAACAGGTGAACCTCCTTGGGGAAGATTTCAATCTCCTATGCAAGCTTTATTAACTATTTCATCTAAATAATGTTCACCACCCACTCCAATTAATATATCCTCAAATCTAAAAGACTTTCTAGATAAATGTCTATAATTTGATCATAAAAAACGATGGTAAGCCTAGAAGTTATTAAATCATCCATTCATCACAACTATTACAAAAAAAATAGCTAAATCTGAATAGTTTTCATTTCAATAAAAACCCACTTAAGAACATTATAATTTTGATTTACATGTTGCCCCCTAATCAGGAGATATTAAAAGAGATGAAGAATATTTGGGTAAAGATTCTAATCATATGATCTTTTCTAAATAGTCTTCAGAAATTAGCGATGATAAACATTTATAGTATTGATCTTTTATCTAGTTTTCATTTATAATTACTTATAGTCTTAATTACATTTATTATATTCCTAATTATTACATTTATAATTATTTTATATATACATTACTTATACTACTAAATTAACCATATTTTTTATTAATAAACTCTTATTTTTTTTACTTTAGTTACAAATTAAAACAATCATAAATTTAATTTAGAAACTTAAAATAGAATTAAAGGAAACAACTATTTGAAAAGATTCAAAATATGTTATAATTATGAACTTCGAAAAATTAGGTATCATTAAATAAAAGTTGAAAATTTATTTATGATATATGTTCAAGTATTCTTTTTTTCATTATTTACAATATTTATTTGCTTTTAACTTTTGCAGGTTCCGTTTTACCTAAATTATTAAAATTCATATTTACATTCATTGTCATAGCATTCATTGTACCTAAATGGATTTCTAATATAGTTATAGCAAATATGTAACAATTTTCAGCAGCAAATAAATTACCATTCTAATGTAATGCACATCCTAAATTGTTAAATGTTATGGCATTCTCAATATTCTCATCACCTATTGAACTTTCTCTTATGATTCTTGCTTTCATAAATGCTCTAACTGCTAATTCATACTCCTACATATGATATAACACTGAACCAATACCACAATAAGGTCTAAAATAATAATATTTTATACAATGCTTTATCTGGATGTTCTGCCTATAATTTATCAGTATGAAATTTAACCCTAAGAAATTTATTTAAAGCAGCTTCATCCTATCCAGCTATCTCATATATCTATCCACCAAAATATTCAAAAAACACCATTTCTGAATCATGTAATTCTGTTAAAGATTGCCATAATTCTTATGCTTAATTTAAATTCTGCATAGCTAAGAAATAATTTTATTATGTAAATGACATTAATGAAGCTTCTATCATAGTTCTAACCTATTATGGAGGATCATGTGGATAAAGACATTCTGGTAACATAACTGGAGCAACTGTTATATTACTTAATGTGCTTAATTCATTTAAATCTCGAAGTGGATTAGTTTATTTAGTTTTTTTTACAAAATCAATAAAATATTGATATGTAAATATTCTTGGTGGTTATACTAATGGTTCCCATTCTAAAATATATATATTATTAATCAATACAATATTTCATTGGTTATTCTCCTTTTTTTAATTATTATTTAGGTTAAGGTTTATTCTTGTTTTTCTTATCTTCCTCTAATTTTCTTGCTAATTCTTCTCTTTTTTCTTTTTCTTTCATTGATTTTATGAAATCCTAAGCCAAATCAACCTATGATTTTAATTCTGGGAATTGTGGTAAGTCCTATTAAAAAAATTACCAAATCTCTTTTATATCTAATTGATCTGGTTTACGAGTGAGAAACAAATAATTCTATTATTTCATATCCTACTCTTCAGATTAAGTGTTAATTTGCTCTTAAATAAAATCATCTGGTTTATCTAATATTTCATAATATTTTTTTATTAAAGTTAAATGTTTTGATTTCTCTTCATGGACTCTATTCCCATTTATTTACAAATCGATCATTTTTTAAAAGAATTTTATGATTAATGGAGAAATTTCCTTCTTTGAATCTTGTTAAGTTTCTCTATTTGCTATTTCTGCAGCCATTTTGCAAATCAAGAATTAAAATTCCAAATATGAAATTTTAGGATCACCAGAATAATGTTATGGTTTAAATCTTCCACTATTAATCATTTCACATATTTATTAAATACTATTAGATTAATAAAATTAGTTTTCTTTTGGAGTTATTGCAGGTATAATTCTCATACATACATCTTCAATGTTTTCATAATTGTAATGAGTAGGATGAATATTCATGTCTTAAAGCATTTGAATAAATGAGAAAATTGGAATTCTGAGATTCATTAATTTAATTTCTTTCCAAGTTAACATGAGTTCATTTTTATAATAATTTTCTGGTAAATACATAGTGAAGAGTGCTTGGATATCCTCTTCATATGCAATAATAGTTTTAACAACCTATTCATGAAGTAATTTTCTATTAGGATCATCAAGAATTATCATTCTTATTTAAGTTTTTCTTTTATTGTCTATGAAAACATCTTTCATAATGAAATCTAAATATTTCTTTTATCCTTAATAAAGAGATTTACCTAGGGAATCAATCAATCTCAAAAACTTAGTTCTACTAAATTTGGGTGTATCATCCTTTATTATATTGATAGGTTCTTTTGCTCCTTTTTTTGGAGCTTGTGTAACTCTTTAAACTATTTCTTCTAAGGCAAAGTGTTATTAATATAGATTAAAGTAGAAATTAAAATTGAACTTTGCAGTTATCAATTCTCTTTCCAATAAAAAAGTCAAGAACTCATGAAACTTCATATTATTGTTTTCCACTTTACATATTACTTGATTAAATAAATCATCTAATCGTTTTTAATCTTCTAAACACATTCCTGCAACAATTTATTGTTCTTACATTTATAAAATAATGTAATAATATAGCGCTTATGCCTTGTAATTGAATTGAATCTATATATCAGACTACAAGAGTTTAAGAAACAAAGTGAGCTAGATATAATATCAATAAAGAACGAATTCTAAAAAGATTCTACTTACGTAATAGAAGTGATTGCAAAAGAATAAAAATTAAGCCAAGATGCCTTTCATAAAAATCCATTTTATCAAAAGCATTTATTGACAGAAAATTCATTTCTATAAATTATCAAAAAAGACCAAGTTGACACTCAAATAGGTAAATTTTGAGGAATTATTTTAAAGCCACAATGGGATCCCCTTTTGCAATTAGAATGAATGTAGAAGATTTTAAAAATCAAAATGATCTTTATAAATTTATAGTGAGAAATTTGGAGAATAATTTTACTATCTAAGAGATTAGACATAATTCTTTTACAGTTAGCGTAAGTTTTTGTGATGTCTTAAGATCATTTATAATTTCATCAAATGGTTAAACAATAATATGTTATGATAAGTATGATATTAATAAATATCACTAAACTTAATATAATGAAAGGGCTTGTAAAGTAGCTCAATTATTCTTTGGAATTTATAACAAATTGAATCAGAATCAATAGATCAATCTAGAGAAGGATCTAACACATAGAAGTCTAATAGGTTGTAGAAATTAATTCAATAAAATTGAATGGTATTCAATAATGGAGCATTATGAATAATAAAGAATATTGTCACCTGATATTGTCAAGAAATTTCTTAATCATTATAAATTAGAAACTTCTTAATCAATAGAATACTAAGCAGACTTAGAAAATTTTCCTACTATTTGTGATTCAATATATAATTAACTAATAGATTAATATCATGATTATTTTTAAGGAAAAACAATTTATTTCTGGAAAGATAATATTTATTTAGGAAATTGCTTTATTCCTTCAAAACATTTTGAAATTTTAAGATTTATAAAAAAATCACTCTTAAATTCTAAATAAATAGATGATTAGCTTTCATAGTTTAATTTAAATAAGACTGAATATGATTTTTACTAAAAGTTCATAAAATTAATTTTAAGCCTGCCAAATCATTAAAGAAGTAATTATAGCTTTCTTAATTAATCAAATATTGTGTTCACTTGTATATATAATAATTTGGATTTTGTTCCTTAAAAATTAGATGAAGAATTTACTCTAACCTAATGCCTATAATCAAAATCAAAAATAGCAGTTTTGATTCCTGTAGGTATTTATGGAATGGGTTATGACGAGATTAGTTAAATAATTTTTAAAAATTATTAAGAAGTACAAATAGTAAGTCAAGTGGATTAAGTGCGTGATAATAAATTACTTTATTTATATAATTAAGTTTGCTCTCTAAAAAAATTGAAATTAATAAATGAATAATTGAAATAACTACCTTATAATGTTATAACAGTTGCTTTATATCCAGAATGCTCACATTACTATTTATCCAAAAAATAATCTAAATTTCCATTTTCTTTTAAATTTATAATGTTCTGTCTTTTATCATTATTAGATGATAGAAACAAAGTTAATGAGGTAATAAATCAATTAAAAGAATTTGAAAATTAGAATCTAAGTCATTTACCTACTGATTTCTAAATTGCTTGTCATTATATGCCACTAAATAAGGAAACAGATGATCTTTACAGTGAGATAGTAGAGTCAGATTTCAAAGCAGCTTTTTCAAGAACAAATGAGTATTTGATAGAAAGTTTATCTTAATATAAAGATTCTGTTGGAGGAGTTTCAGAAAGGCATTTATTGGATTAATCAAAGAAGATAATTAGTACCATAGAAGAGAAAGTTAAAATAGTAATATCTAAAAAGAAACAATAATACATATAGAATTAAGGAAATAGAAAACAAGAAATCCTATATGGTTTGTATCTTAAGAATCCAAACTGGAAGGAAATAGATAATTTTATTTTAGATTGTCTTGATAAAATAGTAAAGAAACATCCAAGAGATAGTAATGTTAATAAAATGTATCATTAATTAAAAGAATAGCTATTAAAAGAAAAGGATTAATAAATATATATAAGAGAAAAGCAACCATATATGTTATGTAAAAAATAAGAATAAAAATAATGGTCAACATCAGTGTAGGTGGTTGTGATTGTAGTGGATGGAATTATAATATTGCAACCATAGAATTTAGGTTTAAATCTTTTATAAGATATTCCAATATATTCTAATAATATTGAAGTGACTTAATCAGGATAGATAGCAGAGTTAGTAAGATAAGAGGTGGAATAATTGTATAATAGGAGAGAAAAGGAGGAAGATTTATTATAATTAAGCTTAGAGTTGAATCATAAGAGTTGGAATGTATTTATTGTGAAAAGGAATGCAATAAAGATTGAATTAGTTGAGAGTGTGATTCATTGAAATATTTGATTATTTAATTTTTTATTAAATGGGTTCTGAAAAGTAAATAATGGTTTACATATAAGACATAAGAAAGAAAAAAAAGAGAAGAAAGAAAAGAAGGAAAAGAAGGAGAAGAAAGAAAAGAAAGAGAAGAAAGAAAAAAAAGAAAAGAAAGTAAATTGAATCTTTGATATTGAATGTAGGAATCAGATGCAGGTAAAAAAAGATCCAGAAATGTAAGTAAAGAGAAAGAAAAAAAGAGAGAGGAGTTTTAAAAGCCAAAAATGCCTGTAAAAGCACCTGCAGAATAATCGAGAGGGTAAATTATGAGAAATAATTGAAAGATTTCGTTTTGATTCTCCTCCAAAGGATCCTTTACAAAACACACCATTCTCAAGTTTTAAGAGTAAACTTATAGAATAAGTATCTTTGGGAGAGTTTGAAAGTAATAGATAGAAATGAATTTAGCAATACTTCCTGCAAATCCTCTTTAGAATCCATTAGCTTCATTGGAAGCTCTATAAGCAATGACACCATTGATTTAGATGCAAAGATTACAATAATTAAGAGCTTAAGCAGATGTGAAGGCTGATAGAAAACTTTATGTTGGAAATTTACCACCTAATAGTTAACCAAAAGAAGTATAACCAATTTTTAAAGTTAGCTATAAGATTTCTTGAATTAAACATTATTAAAAATGGGTGTAAGTTCTGAACATGCAGGATCTATTTGTAATTGTTGGATTGATTCAAATGGTTTACTTTAAATTATTAATAATATAGGGCATTTTGGTTTTATTGAATTTAGATCACCTGAAGAAGCTACATAGGGATTTATTTTAAAAGATGTGATTTTTAAAGGACATCAACTAAAGATTGGAAGACCAAAATCATTTTTAACTTCTTTAGCAGCAGTGAATTAATAAATGATGAGTGAATAAGCATGTAATAAATTATATGTAAAATTTATAGTTAATCCTTTAAGTAGTATGAAAGGAAATGATAAAGACCCATCTTCACTTATTAGTTTTAGACCACTCAAGTTAATGGCCAGATATGTGTAAATACCTACTAATATTTTAGTTATCAAAAATGTCCTTACTTTTGAAGATGTTTAATATTTATAAAATTATATAGGTCACTATAGATGAGGAATATAATGATATTATGGATGATATTAGAGAAGAATGCTCTAAATTTGGAACTGTTAAAAATGTTATCATTCCAAGACCTGAATTTGGAAAGATTATTGTTGGAGTAGGCAAAATCTTTGTCGAGTATGAAAAAACATAAGAAGCCAGAACTGCTAGAAGATATTTAGCAGGTAGGATGTATGGAGATAAAACTGTTGAATGTGAATATCTATCCAGAGACAAATGGGCTAAAAGATAATTTACAGATCTAAATGAAGATATTCTAAGAGACAGAGAAGAGTAATAAAGATTAGATCAGCTAGAATAAGAAAGAATCAAAAAATAAATGTAAGAAGAAATGTTTCAAGGAAATTGATTTAAATATACAGTCAAAAATGTTAATATTAAGTTTCATACCACTACTATATTCAATTACTTTCTCACTTCATCTCTTTATTCTTATTCTCTCCTCTACTTTAACATTAATAATTAAAACAAATAATTAAAACTAATTTTTATTTCATGAATTACATATTTTTTATATTTTAAAAATCAGAAGTTCATGTTTAACAAATCTAAAAACTTTTCAATTAAATAAACTTTCAAATTAATTCATAAAACATATATTAAATTATCAAAGTACATAAAAATTTATAGCTAAATATAATATTTAGAGGAAAATTATATTAGAATTTCAATAAAGTAAGATAAATTATAAAATGAATTAAAAATTAAATAAGTTTTCTCATTTTATTTTTAGACTTATTATATTATATACAGAGCTCTTTTGCTCTAAAGTTTACTAACATCCTACATCTAAATTGATAGATTCTTTCTCTATGATTGAAGAAAGGATACCACTAGATTGAATTAAATTCTTCATAAGTTTTAAGGTTTTAGATTCCTTAAATTCAGTTATTAACATTATACTTGAATTTAGTATAGCTGATTTTATAAACTGATCGAGCAATTATAATGAGAGATAGTCAGTCAAATTGTAAGTTTTTAATACGTGTTTAATTCAATCAAGTCATCATTCCAAATATTAGCCTGAGTCATTATGTTTTATATAAAAGCTACATGCAGCCATCTTCCTTATTAAGTTTGAACTTTCAAATTTTATTAAGTAGAATGAGCAAATGTAAGTATTACTGTTAAAGGCAAATCTTCTTAAATAACAACCACAATAATTATAATCACAATAGTAAATAATTTGACTATCTTCGCGATATTTATCCTTTATATAAGTATTAATTTTTTATGAAAATTTATGTCAAGTATTTTATATATTTATCTCATACTATCTTTGAGTAAATACAATCAGCATAAACTTTAAATTGAGCTTAAAGATTTGCAAATCCAGGATTATCTATCACAGGTTTCAAAACTGTCTCATCATATAATCCCAATATTGGAAATTATTCAGTCATCAAAAATTTTGGATCTTTCTCATCAATTATTTTAGGAACATCATTTAGATTACGTTATGTAAAATCCAAGATTAGAACTTATCCAATCTTAATTTATTATTAAATCATTTATTACTTGATTCATCAACCCTTTTGAAAGAATCTATAAATTCTTGAATTTATCTATAAATAAATATTGCAGCAATGAGGTGAAAATCTTTAAAGGTTCTGCAAATGGCTTTAAAAACTGTTGCATACCACTAATAGAGAATATTTTATCAAATATTATTAATTAAATATATGAATATTCCAAAAAAGCCATTTTTTATTGATCAACAGAAGTGAATCTTAATAAATATTAAAACATACTTTAGCTTTCTTTTGTAATTTAATTTTAATCTTTGAGCCACAAAACCTGAATGAGCTGGAAATAAATAACCCTCATTAGTTGTGAATGCTTTGATGTATAATAAATGTTTTTGATCAAATTTAATATCTTTTGTTACTGTGTTTAATTATTAAAGAAAGATTTCTGCAGCTTTGATTAAGTTCGCAATACGATTTGGAACATCTTTTTTTTCAGTGAACACCCATGATTTTTTGAATATGGAAAGTTTTTAACCTTCTTGATAAAATTTTGTTAAGAAATCCGAAAATAACTAATATAATTTTGTTATTTACAAATTAGTCATCATACAGACCAATTTCATCATTAAATCTCTTAATTGCCTTTTTTTCAAGGATTTTATAATATTTGTTTTTATAAAATAACACCATCCATGTACAGTATTTGAACTTTTTCTTTAATATCTTTAATCTCTCTGGAGTTGGTTTGACTCGAAGGGGTTGAAGTTTAGGTTTAGAACTTTAACTTAATGATGGTAATTTTTATTCTTAAGGCTTGATAGTTTATTTTTTATGTGACTTTTTTTATACTGGTTATGGTGATGAATCATCTTATCTAGAACTTTAGCTATATTAAAAATTAGAAGCATCTAACTAAGATTTATGTTTGACCTTTAAATTTCTTCTGGATTTCTTCCTTTAATGATCATCCTTTTCTGGATCCTTCTCCTAGTTTTTTAATAATTACAACATTATTTAATTTAATTGTTCTTCTTCTTTTTTTTTAGCTAAACCTTTCAATATTTTACTAAAACTTCTCTCTTCTTTTTAAGGTGGTTGTAAAAGCATATTCTAGAATGGATAATATTAATAATAAGGATTTTAACTTGGCATAGGATAAGGCATAGGCATCTAATTGATTGATTGATGAAAATTGTAGGGATATTGTTATTAAGGTACAAATGGAGGTAAAAAAGGAGCTTAAGGAAGTCTTGGACCACTTTCTATTTGTTTAATTTGTTTTTTTAAATGCTTTATTTCTTCAAGTAATTGATTATTTAATCTTTCACTCTCTATAGAGTGTCTATATCTATCTTGTGAAACATATATTTATTATTATGAATTTGAAACAACTTTCATTAATGCATCAACTTACTACTACTGCTCATTTAGTCTTTTTTATAGCCTATTAATTTCACTTAAGTCCTCTTCAGTTTCCTTTGCTAATAAATCAAGAGAATTTAAAGGCTTCAAATTTCCATAACTTCCTTTAAGTTAAGGGATGTTTAGATTCATTAAAATAAAATTTGTAAATTACAGTTCATTTATATATATATAGAAATGTTATCAAAACAATTTGAATTGAGTAAAAATATCAATTTTAATGGACAAAATTTTAATCTAATAAGTATCAACATTATTAAGTCACTTCTTCTAAAACTTATTTTGCAGGGCATGGTTATCTTTATTTTGGATCGAATTCTTTAAAGTATTCACTATTATATTGACCTTGATAAGAAGGATTCAATTTAATTTAAGTAGGTTCTTTTAAATTATTAGATTTATCTGTTCGATAGGGTTAATATGAAGATTTTGTAACTGAAATTCCATTAAATTTCATATTTGGTGGCTACAAAGGTGATCTTTTATAATTTTAATATTTACTTATTACAATTTAAACCTTTGGTACTTTATGCAGGTTGAACCTATGCTCCTTAGAAACACTCTCTGTAATTTGTTCTGCCAAAAAATGGAAGATCTCTAATTACTGTTGGACTCTTTTAAGATAATAATGGAACAGTATCTCCATTTCCCCAATTTAAATACATATTATTATAAGTTGATATACCCATAAAAGGTCCACTTCGAATTGTTGATTAAGGGGAGTTACTTTTAAATCTAAAATTTGATTAACTACCCAAAAAATCATGCTAAAAGATTTTATTTATAATACCTTATAAGTTGATACATTTCCTATGTCACCCTCTTATTTAGGATTATCAAAAAGGTTCTAATTATAATGTGCACTCTAATCTGGAGATTTATGAATGTATTCCCTTTAATAAATACTTTTACTCCCAGGCATTGAGGGTCTGTTTCTACATTGTTTTCCTTCACATTAATGTTTTCCACAATTACAAATAGAACATATACATTATCCTATCATTTCAAATCTCCATTACCTCCTAAATGTTCAAAATAAGATTAATATTGCTCTTCCTCTTTATTTGCTCCATTTTTTTATCGACTCATTAATCTCTCAATCAGCTATCCTATATATTAGATTATCTACTTTAGCTTAACTATCTGTTAGTTCACCTCTAGGAGAGGATAATTTTGATCCTTATTTATTGCTTCGAGATCTAATTATTATTTTTTATTGTGGCATTTCTAACTATTATTTTATAATTATTAATTTCTATCATTTTATATACTAAATATCTTCATCATACATACTCTCTTATAATTTATTTTTATACAAAAACATATTGCTACTTTTTAAAATAAATGAGTTATATAAATGTAATTTTAATAAAATAATTATTGTTTATCAATTTATTCTTATTATTTCGATAAAAGTATTTATGTTGATAATTTTTATTTTTATTTGCTTCATGACTTCTAACAAAATCAAACCTGATTTTTTAAACCTCTAAAACTGTCATCAAATTTTGAATAAACAAGTTTAATCATCACATTTTAGATAAAATTCAGATAACATCAACTTATATTCTACACCAGAACAAGACCTATAAACACCACTAAATCTTAGAAGAAAAAATAATAATTAAAATGTTATTGGTAAAAATTTAACAAAGTTAAAACTTTGTCATCAGAAACATGAATCTTTAGATTTTGAACCTTTTCCATTTAATGTATTAACTCTATATATATATTTAGAAAGACATAAAATTTTCATAATTTACTTAAATCAAAAGTTAAAGATCTAAACAAGTAAATCAATTTGATTTAAGCAAACAAATTAGTAAGATTAATAATTTCTAGTAAGAAAATATAACTGAAACCATAGAAACATAATCTTAATTTCAGAATAAAGAAAGATGTGACGAAAACATTTTGGATTTATTGCTTCTTAATACAATAGAATTAAAGGATATATTGTCAGTAAATAAAGAAAAGCCTTTAAAAAAGTAGAGGAGTAAACCAAAAATCACATATATATCAAATACTAAAGCTTTGCCTCATGATTTCTTTTTCAAATTATGAAGCGATTTTTGGAATTGAATTATATTTTATCCAAAATTTTTTCCCAATATATTAATGTAGATTATTTAATTTTTAATTCTTTAATACTTTAATTAATGATTATGTCTCTTAGAATGTAAGCAATATGAAGTTTTATAAGATAATTTTTTTTATAAGGGTAATGTATCATTAATTCATTTATAATTCGATTGATATAATAATTAATTTTTAATAATTGATATAACATTAAGAATGGAACCGTTTGCAATTCTAACAAATATAATTAAACCAGAATACTTAAACTACTATAAAGATTGGATTCACATAGCTAGTGAAAAGGAAGCCAGAGGACTCTAATTAATAGGTGCAATTTATAAACATAAAGGAAGAAAACTATTTAGGTGACCTCTATGTTTATATAATAGAGCTAAACCTCCCACGGTCCAATTACAAGAACTAACTGATCAATAGGAATTAGAGTAACACTTTAATTTAATTTTTCTATAGTTTTAAGAAAGCTGAAGAAATGCATAGAAAAAATTAAACTTCGACAACTTATGGCACAGAATTTGGCTATTTACAAAAACTATTAAAGCCTTAAAATAATGTATTTAAATTCAAGAAATGCTCTGAACTTGAGTTTGCTTAACCACTTAATGATTTAGCTAAATTATTTTTAGATAATTGGATTGAGATGAATGATGAGTTAGAATTTTAGGAATTAGTATTGAATTGTTTGAGAGCTCTTTTTAGCAGATTTAAAGCATAATTAGTTCCTAAAACAGAAATGAAGTAAGTTTATAATCTTATTATAGAGTAAAATATGAATACAAACCAGACTGGAAACTTTCAAACCCTATAAGAGTAGATAAGGCTGGAACTGAAATCAAGTAATTAAATCAAATATAAAAAGTGCCTACAAGACTAATTATAATGCAATTTTTAAATAAAGACTAAAGTAAGAATAGATCAAATAAAAAATTGCGGAACTAGATGGAACAGATTTTGCAAAGGCTTTAACAATACATAAATCATTCAAAATAAAATGATTTAAAATATTAATAAATATATGAAAGGATAAATCTATAATATCTTAGTTTTTATGTTTATTCGTAATAAATCATATCTATATATTAATTTTCTTTTTTGCTAGTTCAGCCTTATATTTATCAGGTATTGTATTATCATTAAGCCCTTTTAATTTTTACTCTTTAATATTCTCTAAAAGTTTCTTTTCATTAATCATTTTATCTCTAATTTTTTTTCCTTCTTCAAGCCTTTTTTTGAATAATAAAAAATAATACTTGTCTCTTTCTTCTTGTTTTCTTTTTTCTTCATTCATAGAAATCTATTTTCTCAATTCCTCTGCATGTTTTTTGACTAATTATTCTTTCTCCTATTGTAATCTAAGTTCATTTTCTCGTTCTTGCTTTTGCTTTTAAATAACTCTTTAAAATTCGTCTCTTTCAAGTCTGGCCTTAAAAAATTTTATAGAAAAATACTTATTCTTCCAATTTATCTTGTTTTTCATATTGTTAAACTTTCCTTGCTTAATACAACTCTGAATTTAATTTTTATCTTAATTCTGCTTCTCTTCTTTCCTTTTCTCTTGCAGCTCTTTCATTTTGTTCCATAGCTCTTTTAGCTCTTAATAAATCTAATTCAGCTTATCTATCTTAAGCTTTTTCTTGCATTTCTCTTAATCTTTATACATCTCTCTCTTTTTCCTCTTTGATTCTTCTCTATTCCTCTACAATTTCAGCTTCTTTCTATGCTTTTTCTAAATTATATTTTGCTATTTTTTCTTCTTCTTCTTTTTCTTCCAATCTTCTTTTTTCTTTAACAACAATAGCTTTTGAATTAGCTTCTAAAATTTCATCTTATAACTTCTTTTGCATATCCTTTCTTTTTAAATTTTTCTATTAATCTTCAATTTACACTTATTTAATTTATTTAATCATAATTTAACCCTCTCTTTCCTATTCTTCTTTTTCTTTAAGTCTTATTAATTCTCTCTCTTTAATTTAATCAACAATAATTCCATGACCTATTTTTAATTCATGTTTATGTTCAATATCTTTTTCTTCATAGTATTTAACTGCTTTCAATCTTTCAATTTCCATCATCAGATCCTTTCTTTTTTCCTAAGTTTTAAATTCTTCCTTCAATTATTATTTTTCTTATAACTATTTGTCTCTGATTGTGACACATTTAGCATACATAACCATTTTGTTCATTTCCTTTACATCATCTAATTATTCATTTAAAATTTCTGCAGCCTAAATTCAAATATAAACTGATACTCTTGCATTAAGACTATCTTTAACTACCTTATCTTCTTATTATTATTCTGTTAAAGGTATTTATTTCTTTTTTTCTTCTTCTAATTATTACATTCTCTGTTTCTTAGCTTTTGCAGCTGTCATTTACTTTTCTTTCTATTCCTCAAGTAATTTCTTCTGATGTAATTATTCTTCCTTAGTTTTTACTATAGCATTATTCTACTAATAAAGATGAAATCAACTTTCATTCTCTATAATTCTGCTTCTCCTATTAAAACAACATCTGGATTTGAAGTGTCTCCCTTTCTAACACTCTGAACAACTTTAGCAGTTTTTACATCATTTCTTTTATTACTTCCTATTTAATAATTTAGGCTAATTTTTACCAAAAAGTGACTCATCAACTTCACTCTTTCTACTTTTGCAAGATGCTGGCCTACTCATTTTACTCTTTAACGAAAATTAATATACATATATACCATCGATTTTAAATTTCTTATATATAAATATCAAATTAGTTAGCATGAACGTATACAATTCTAAAACACTTATAATTAAAATTTATGACGTAGCAAATCAACTTTAAATAAATTTAAAGTAATTACCTCTTTCTGTGAATATATTCTTATCAATTTATTGATTCATAAATTTATTCCAATCATTTATTGTATTTTTTGCTGCTTCAATAATTTCTAACAAATATTATGCAGCCTTTTGCTTTTCATTCTAATTAAATTCTTCTTTCATTCTCATTTAATTCCCTTCAACTTAAATAAATGCTTCTAGATAGTCTTATAATATTCTTAAACTTTCCGCAAAATATTTAACTTAATAAACGCTAATTATTAATAAGATACTTAAAATTACAAACTTAAAGAAAATAATTCAGCAAGAAGAGAAATAGCTTTATGGAACTAAGCTGAATTAAAATGATCTAAAATAAGTTCCACATTTCTGGTAATTAATTAAATATATTCACTGCCTAAATTATCGAAATTGTTTGGATATCTTAATCGAAATCTCTCAACATCCCAATATTAATTCATTAAACAATTAATTTCTTTTTTTAATAATAAAAAAAAATTAAATAATTTATATTTTATATAGATATTGTTTGTGATAAAAAAATAAAAAATTAAATCAAACCATTGAACTTTATCTAAGAATCATTTAAAAGTTTTCAGTAGATCTAACAGAATTTATTTGTTTAGTAAATTCTGCCAAAGATCTCTTCTCTTGTTTTGCTTAATTACATTCACCTCTATTCGCATACCCAGATTATAAATCATATTTTAATTATTTAGACTCTGGAGTTATATAATTATTTTTGGGAGTTGTATTTCTTAAACATTGAGGACTGACAGAATCTTCACTCTTTCCTTAATCTCTAAATATTCGTTTAGATAATTATGGTTGCTGCATCCTTTATGAATGATCAGAACGATCTCTTCCTCTTTAATGCAATTAAAATTATTTGAATAATCCAGTTGGACTACTTGAATCCAACCAATCTAATTGGGAGATCTCCATCACATTAGAATCCTTACAATTTAAGACATTGCTAATGCATAACTCTTTCTTTTTCCCGCAATCATTTTTTTATTTAAGAGATACAATACAACCTCCACCGCCTCCTTATTCAGGTTTACTGTTTTCTTTATCTTATTGTTATTTCTTTTTCTTGGGTTTTACAGCCACTAAAGTTTCTTGCTGTTATTATAGATTTTCAAATTGCTATTCCAAATCAGAAAGTTCATTCTCCTAATTCTAAGTTTATTCTTATATCTTAAGCTCTAACTATTCTAAATAATTTTTTAAGTGTCGATTTTCCTTCTCTAATTAAACTAAGACAGCTGTATTTCTATTTTTAGATTCTATCAACTCCTGAGAATATTATTCCAAAGTCTACTATAATTGTTTATAAACTAAACTCTACAAGTATAGGACTTTAACTTTACATTCTATTTATTCACATCATTTTGCATTGAATTATAAGCATTGAGAATTGTTTCATTAAATATTTTGTATGCATCTTCTCTCTCCTTCAATTCTTATAACTATAACTCTAGTAATTCATTCTACTATTCGAGTAAAGCCTTTTCAGTCTTCTGATCCATTATGTAATTTAAAATTTAACGACTAATAATTTATTTTATAAATCAATTCAATCTTTATCCTAGACATTTCATTNCTTTATGGAACTAAGCTGAATTAAAATGATCTAAAATAAGTTCCACATTTCTGGTAATTAATTAAATATATTCACTGCCTAAATTATCGAAATTGTTTGGATATCTTAATCGAAATCTCTCAACATCCCAATATTAATTCATTAAACAATTAATTTCTTTTTTTAATAATAAAAAAAAATTAAATAATTTATATTTTATATAGATATTGTTTGTGATAAAAAAATAAAAAATTAAATCAAACCATTGAACTTTATCTAAGAATCATTTAAAAGTTTTCAGTAGATCTAACAGAATTTATTTGTTTAGTAAATTCTGCCAAAGATCTCTTCTCTTGTTTTGCTTAATTACATTCACCTCTATTCGCATACCCAGATTATAAATCATATTTTAATTATTTAGACTCTGGAGTTATATAATTATTTTTGGGAGTTGTATTTCTTAAACATTGAGGACTGACAGAATCTTCACTCTTTCCTTAATCTCTAAATATTCGTTTAGATAATTATGGTTGCTGCATCCTTTATGAATGATCAGAACGATCTCTTCCTCTTTAATGCAATTAAAATTATTTGAATAATCCAGTTGGACTACTTGAATCCAACCAATCTAATTGGGAGATCTCCATCACATTAGAATCCTTACAATTTAAGACATTGCTAATGCATAACTCTTTCTTTTTCCCGCAATCATTTTTTTATTTAAGAGATACAATACAACCTCCACCGCCTCCTTATTCAGGTTTACTGTTTTCTTTATCTTATTGTTATTTCTTTTTCTTGGGTTTTACAGCCACTAAAGTTTCTTGCTGTTATTATAGATTTTCAAATTGCTATTCCAAATCAGAAAGTTCATTCTCCTAATTCTAAGTTTATTCTTATATCTTAAGCTCTAACTATTCTAAATAATTTTTTAAGTGTCGATTTTCCTTCTCTAATTAAACTAAGACAGCTGTATTTCTATTTTTAGATTCTATCAACTCCTGAGAATATTATTCCAAAGTCTACTATAATTGTTTATAAACTAAACTCTACAAGTATAGGACTTTAACTTTACATTCTATTTATTCACATCATTTTGCATTGAATTATAAGCATTGAGAATTGTTTCATTAAATATTTTGTATGCATCTTCTCTCTCCTTCAATTCTTATAACTATAACTCTAGTAATTCATTCTACTATTCGAGTAAAGCCTTTTCAGTCTTCTGATCCATTATGTAATTTAAAATTTAACGACTAATAATTTATTTTATAAATCAATTCAATCTTTATCCTAGACATTTCATTATATAGATTTTCCAACTTTTTAAATCTTTATACATCTACTTCTTAATATTTGGGGTATCTACATTTGTTCTTTGTTAGAGTATTTTGGCAATTTGATTGAATTACAATTACAAACAGTTTATTCCACTTATATATCTTAATCACTAACAGTAGACCAACTTAAAAAAATCAAGCTATCCTTTAGTGTGAAAAGATCAGAATCTCAAATTTATTAACCCCAATCATTTTAAAATGCGTCTCAAACTTTATTCTATTAGTAAAATAAAAAAGGTCAAGATCTAAATCTTAATCAATTTTATTTTTATTAGATAAATTTTTTATTATCTATTATTATATTATTTAAAATCTACTAAATTTATTTAAATGATCTTTTTAAACAATTATTTGTTTTTTATTACTCACATCTGGGGGTGGATTTAAAATTATCTATTTCAATAAATTCAGGGATGATGAAAAATTATTGTTATTCAAAAATTTTCATCAAAAAAAGTGACTAAAGCCAATTGTTAAATTTTAAAGAATTTTTTTCTCTTTTTATATTATATATGCATCTAAAAAAGGATCATCTGATCGATTACCAATAATTAAAAGGACAATTAATAGTTTTTATAGACTTCTGTAATATAGACATTGATTTATTCAATTAGAAATTGAATAAAATTATGTATTTATGTGTTCAAAATTTAATAATATAATTAATGGCTATTTAACTACCAATAGAGCAAAGAATCGATAAATCTTACATACTTTATTAAGAGAAAATTATAATTGAATATTTAAAAGATGAATGTGGACTCTTGCGCACTCCATAAGGTGAGGAAATCTTGAAAAAACTCAGGCAAATTTAAATGGCGGTTGATTAGCAATTAAAATAAAAAGTTGAGTTTTAAAAATTTGAAAAAAATTAAGAAAGAGAAGATTTGTAATAATTACAACATAAATTGCAAGAATTAAAGCAAAAATAGAAAGATGAATTTTCAGTCTTAGGGGATTTGCAAAGTTAATTAAAACAAAAGGTACAAAATACAATAAAAATATAAAAATTCAAAGAATTGTTAAATGATATTGAGAATTAAGATTGTAAGAGATATCTTAATATTAAATAGTCAGAGAAATTCTAATAGATGATAAGACAATAGAAGAAAGTTTGAATGCAATTTTTTTATAACATTTTACTAAAAATTAGGCTTTGCTAAAAGAATAAGCAGAGTAAATAAAATATGCAAAGGAAGTTTATGAATAATAATATCGTGAATAGTAAAAATTAAAAGAAAGACTTTATTTATTATAGAAAGTACATTTGGATGCTGCTTAAGAAATTTGAATTTAATTTTATTTATTTATATATAAATTAATTATCATTTATTACTTGTTTTTTTGATTTTTTTACTAACACCAGGGATTTATTATTCATCTTTAAGTTTCTTTAAATAATCATCAATGCTGCGTTCTAATTCATTGGCACATTTATAGTAAATGGTATCAGGTTGATTGTAATTTCTACAATTTATAAATATTCTCTTAACATCCTTAATGAAGAGATCTTTGGATGTATATTAATTGGACTGTAATTTTTTTTCAATAGTTTTGATATCAATAGGATCTGTAATAACATCATAGTAATCAGGAACATCATCTTTGTTGACTGGATCTAAGAAAGGCCAAGCAGATTTATGTTTTCTCATGGTGTCAATAATTTATTGGCAAGATATCATGAAAGTTTTTTCTTTTTATTTTTTGAGTTCATTATAATCATCTAAAGTCCATCCACTTTCTAAAATGCCTTAAATACTTTCAGGTTTGACAGCAGGCTTATCAGAATTTGAATTTTCAACTTTGTAATTTTGCTTATCCAATCCAGGGTAAACTCTATCATTTAAGGTTAATTTCTTAATAATATCTATCATTTGCTAGTATTAAACTAAATCTTACCTGTTTTTATTCCCTAATTAGATCACTAATATTTCCATAATCAATAGTAGGATGTACATAACATTCCATTAGAGTTCCTCCATCATAATCCTTAATGAATCCTTTCCATCGATCTAGCTACATTTTGATTTCTTAATAGAATCCTTGTTTTCTAAAGTATCCAATGGCATAATTATCAGCATAAGTTAGTAAATATTCAACATCCTGTTTTTGAATATGTTCTTTAAATTTATTCATTAATCTAGTTCCATAACCCTTGACTTAGAGTGTAGCAGTAATAGCTAAGAATGCTATCTCAGCAAATCGTTAAGTTGGATATTTTCTATAACAAATTCCTCCAATGACTTTAGTGTTGTCCTAAATACATAACTATGATGAAATACTTTTATTATACACATAGATTCATGATTCCGATCAAAGACTAATCGTACAATATATTCTTTAGGCATTTTTGGTAATTACCTAGCGAAGATGTTTTTGAGATCAATCAGCATTTTCATGCTTTCATGGGTTCCATCATTGGTTATTATTTTGAAATCAATCAAACCTTGATCTTCTTCAACTTTTGCACCTTGATCTCGATTCGTGAATCCAAGGCCTGTCTATTCTCCGTTGATTCCCACAAATTATTGAGACATAAATAAATATCAGACAAATTAAATCATTCTCCTATACAATTCCCGCATTTTACTTTTATCCAAAATTTATGTATCCATTTTATTCAAAACATCTATTCAACTTTTCATAATTCCTTGACATATCACCTTTACTCCTTATTTACTACTCAATTCAATCAATTTAAAACTCTAGTTAAGGAACACATCTTTTCTTTATAGAACATCTCAAAATAATTTAAACTGAAGCCAATATTAATAAAATAGGTAATTAATTTGAAAGAGACATTCATAATATTCAATTTACATACATATTCATTCCCACATCTTCAAAAATGATTTCTGAAATCTTCCTCTATTAAAAAAATAATAATAAGAAAAATATTGAAGTATATTATATTATTCATAAATTTTCTAAAATTTATATGAAAAATATTTCAATTAAATACATAGTACTTCATATATATCAAAAATAATATTTAAGACTATAAGGTTTCATATGTATATTATAGTTAAAGAAAATAAACTCAGTAGAACATTGACTTAATACTAAATTACTTATTAAAATTATTAACCTTGCCAAACTGAATCAATTTTTAGGAATTATTTTTTAGATTTTTATGAATAAAAATTTCATTTTTTGTTACTCAGCTTTTATGATAATATATAAGTCGATGATTACCTACCTATATTAATAATCTTAATTATCTATTTGGATTAATTAAACTAATTTTATCAGGTTAAGTATACAATTTACTCAATAAATATTGATTCTAACTTTTCTTAATTCTTAAACTAATTTTCCTAAAAGTGCTTGAATATATTTCAGATTAAGTACTTTTTCTGCCTCTCAATACAATCAGTTCAAAAATTTTCATTTCTTCTTGAGTAGCAACTAAACTATGTCCAAAGAAGTTGTAATTAATAGTATGATATTTTCATTAAAATCTATTCATTAATTCATAAGCTAATACAATTAACAATTTAAAAATTGAATCTAAATTCTGTTTATTGAATATAAGCAAATATCTAATAAAATTAATTTTAAAATTTATATGTGGAATAATAAAAACAAAACCAAAAAAAAATTTATGATATATAAATTAATTATTAAACATAAATAAATGTGTGTTATTATGAGTATTTGTAGGCTAGAAGATATCCTAAACACATAATTAATGAATTTAAAAAATTTTATTTAATGCTCGATAAAAATCTACAATAGATAGTTAAATTGGAAGTATTTATGTCTTTACTATTATCAAAATTAGTAATTCTTCAAATATAATTAATGAAAAAATTGATTGTTATTAATAAATAATTGTTTCAAATTGCTTCACTTTTAGAATATAATTTAT